TTTTTCCTTCTTCTTGAGCTGTCCCTGGTCCAAGAGTGCAATAGCCCAGGATGCACTCCATACTTTGGTACGCTTTGGCGATGGATGGTTGTATTTGCCCATCCAAAATGCTTGTCGGTATACCTTGGAAGAACCACCCAAACACCATGAAAGTTTTATGCAGTTTCAGCGACAAGACATGAAGACAACAAACTATACGACAGAATAATTGTTTTCCAAGGCTAGGTACAGGTATTTGGACCTTTTTGAGCATCAATTTTAGCCAAACCATACGATCATGTTCCATTACCAGCGATGACTGCGGCTGTTCCAACAAGAACACTCCCCCGCTGCAAAGGATGAAGGCTATGATGAGGACGATCCTCGCCAGGGAAAGAGAGGGAAGAAGGGGCTTACTGAAAACACCGGGGTTTTGGAGTTGACAAGGCATCAGGGTTATGCATTTGTGTTCATTTCCTTTCTTCCAATCCAACTCCTTGAGGTCATTTGGTTTGACATAGCTACCGAGGGAGCATTTCCACCCATGGGGGTAAGTACGTCACGGTCCGATGTTCCAGCGTTGATGATCACCCATGTGGAACACAAGAGCCCAATGAGGACTGTTAGAGAATTCATCTCACACCTGAGAACTGCTCGAAGGATTAACCTCGGCGACAGCGACAGGTTGGTTTTCACGGTTTCGGGGAACTTACCCACAGCTACACTTGACCACAGCTTTTTTGTAAACCTTCAGCCGGGTTACACTAACCCAGCCGATGAGTTGATATCCATGGAGTCATCATATGCTAGATCATGCGCCTCTGCTGGTAAGTTCAGAGCCTTCGCCAAACGAGTCAGGCGAGCCTGGCCCGCAAACAATTCCAAGAGCCGCAATGGCTCTCCTGTGTCCTGAAAAATGTCAAGCCAGGAGGTCATGAGGACCAGCAGCACAAAGGCCTCAAGCAATTGAAGTAGAAAGTAGCAAAGATTTGGAATACCCCAAACTCATTTAGTCTCAGTTGAGCCACTCTAGGGAGCCCCAAGGCTATCATCCGACGAAGAACAAGTTGGATCTCATGAGGTTTCATGGCTCCGATCCACGCACGCCGGTTGAGCTAAGGAATGAAACTGCAGATCACACCGATCTCATGAAGGTCTTGACTTCAGAAAGCATTGACAAGGCCAGGCCAGAAGTACCGCTGGCAAGGCCCCATTTGCCCAAGGCTTTCAAGAACCGTGGCATCAGTACCTGCATTCGACATGTATGACTCCCACAATCCTCCATGACACAATAACATAGCAGAGAAAAGGTTTTGAAGAGTTGGCAAGGCTTTGTATTTTTCCTTCTTCTGCAATGTCTATGGAACGAGGCCCTAGCCCGCGTGTATCCACACAGGTTGCCAAGTGTTGTAAACATGAATGATGCATGCCCGCATCAGTGCCCCCTCAGGTCATCTTCAGTGACCACGTGGTGGATCGATCACGATTCCACTGGCCTTGGATGAAGGACACTGGTTGTTTTTGGTGGAGTATGATTCAAAGGAATTGGATTTGACATCCATTTTTTAGACTTGGAAAAGCAGTGGCATCAACATGATATCAAGGAATAAGAACTACCTCCTCAGGGTCTACTCACTGTAGAAAGAGAAGCATTGGTGTTCATGTGCCGAGTGGCTTGTCATGGAGCACTAGAAGAAACTCTCTTGCCCACTTCGAAGCTAAGTCGATGAAACTTGCCCAATCCATGGCCTCTTCAACACCATTGCCATCTCTCCCACAAGCATTCATGCAGAAGTCATAGAAACGGGCCTGTCCAGGAGTGATAGTTGGAGGTAGTGTTTGCTAAAGACATCACCTGCTCGAAGGTAGGTTAAACACTTGAACTTTCTTCAGAACAAAAACATCACGGTTGCTTCAATCTCATAAGCATTTGAGTCACAATATCGAAAAAGGCTAGAGGAAACTGCTTTGGTAATCTTAACTCTGTTTGACAAGCTCGTCCTCCATCAGCGATGGTGCTTTCACCTGCCCCACAATCAGGTCCTGGAAGACCTGCCTGGTGCCCAACCAAAAGCTCCGTGTTGGCTCCACCTTTGGCATGTATCGACGAGCAAAAGTTGCCTTCTCCTTCTTCGGGGCTGGGTCGGCCAAGGCTAGATCTGGAGCATCCAGTTCTACCTTCTGCCTGCGAGCCCTCTTGGCCTGCGGCTTGTCTCTTTTGTCACTGCCACCAGTTTCCACCTCAGTCTTCCTTGCCCTGCCTTTGGCCTGTGCTTTCTTGACAGTCTTGGCATCATCATGATCCTTCTTTTGCGCCTTCTCCTTTCTGTGATCCTTGGCATCATCATCATCATCTTGCTTCAGTGCCTTGCCCCTGCTCCTCTTAGGCTTGGCATCATCATCATCTTCTTGCTTCGGTGCCTTGCCCCTGCTCCTCTTAGGCTTGGCATCATCATCTTGCTTCGGTGCCTTGCCCCTGCTCCTCTTAGGCTTGGTGTCATCATCATCATCATTCCCCTTTTCTGCACCATTCTCATTCTCGGGCTTGGCATTCTTCTTTTCCATCGCCTTCTTGGCTTTTGCCCTGGCTTTTGCCCTCGCTGCCGCTGCCCTCTCTTTTGCCTTGGCTTTTGCCTTGGCTTTTGCTTTCGCTTTTGTGTTCTTCCGCTGTCTCTTCTTTTTTGGCTCTTCTTCATCTTCACACTTCTCTGCGTCCTCATCCTCCTCATTGCCCTTTCCACCGCTAATCTCATCTTTTAGCGACTGCTGCTCTTTGCGAGACACATCCTTGACATCCAAGAGTTCTTTGGACAGAGGGCTGAGGACATTTGGGTTCTCTACTACTCCCTTCTTCTCTTCTTTCTCTTTGGATGCTGACATCATGGCAGTCCCTTCTCCCACAGACTCAGAAGGCAGTCTCTCAGACTTGTCACTCTTCTCATCGTCTTTCTCTTCGGATGCTGGCATCATGGCCCTTCTTTCTCCCACAGACTCAGAAGGCTGTCTCTCAGACTTGTCACTC